CCTGCAAACAAAGGGTCGCTGGTTTGATTCCCAGTCAGGGCACATGCCTGGGTTGCAGGCCAGGCCCTCAGTAGGGGGCACACAAGAAGCAACCACACAAAATATATAAGAAAACACATGACTCCACTCCAGGAAGACAAAGAACCCAATTAAAAATGGGCTAAGGAATTGAACAGACACTTCTCCAAGGAGGACATACAGAAGGCCCAGAGACATATGAAAACATGTTCAATGTCACTAGCCATCAGAGAGATGCAAATTAAAACCACAGTGAGATACCACTTCAAGCCTATGAGAATGGGCCCATAAACAAATCAACAAACAAGGTTTGGAGAGGTTGTGAAGAAAAGGGAACCCTAGTGCACTACTGGTGGGAATGCAGATTGGTGAAGCCACTGTGGAAAACATTATGGAATTTCCTCAGATAACTAAAAATATTACTATCTGTTTTGTGCTGCTTTTAAGATTCTTTCTTTGTCTTTGAAATTTGGCATTTTAATTATGATGTCTTGCAGTAGGTCTTTGTGTGTTCATGTTGAATGAACACACATCTTGGAATCCTCTATGCTTCCTGAATTTGCATGGCTTTTGACCTCTCCCAGTTAGGGAAGTTTTCTGTCCCTGCTCCTTTTCTTCTCCTTCTGGTATTCCTATGATTTGAATGCTGTTGCATTTCATATTATCCTAATGTTCCCTTATGCTATCCTCATATTTTTTAGTCTTTCATGCTGCTGCACTACCTGGGTATTTTTTCTAACTTGTCATCCAGCTCACTAATTCAGTCCTCTGCTTCATCCACCCTGCTTGTAATTCCTTCTAGTGTATTTTTATTTTGGATACTGTATTCTTCATTCTTTCCTGGTTCTTGTTTAGAGTTTCTATTTCCTTTTTCATGCTGTTGTAGTTCCCACTCAGTTTCTTGTAGTTGTCACTCAGTTTCTTGTAGTTGTCACTCAGTTCCTTGAGCATCTTTATAACCACTTTTTTTAGTTCTATGTCTGATAGATTGCTCACCTCAAATTCATTTAGCTCTTTTACTCAAGATTCTCCCATTCTTTTCAGTTGGATGTTATTTCTTTGTCTCCCCATTTTAGGTAACACTTTTTGTTTGTTTCTGCATCATAGGGTACTCTGATTTGCCTGCCTGTCTTCATGGGGTGGACTTTTGTAGTAGGATTTCTGTGGGGCTCAGTGGTGCAGCCTTTTTTATCTTCCTGTCTCGATGCTCTAGGGTTGCCCTTTGTTCTTTTTGTGTGAGCTCTCTTATTGTGCTTGAGTTTTACTTGTTGGTGGCTTACTTTTTGGTGTGGTCTCCCTTTCAGTGGGCTTATGGGTAGTCACAACTCCCTCATTGTCTTGTATGCTTCTGAGTTCTTTCTGGATCTGTCTCTGGTTTTCTCTCAACTCCAGGTCTAACTGTCTTACTCACCCATTTTGAAGCATCCTCTTTACACTTTGGCTTCCAAATTCATATCAGCTAAAATTCCATTGGCTGTTCATTTTGTTTTTTGGAAGATCAACTAAATGTCCCACTTGTGTACACAAGCAAGTTGGCTTAGCCCCCACCTACTTTGTCACCACCATCCTGACCAGTTTGACAATTTCATTTTTAATATATGTGAGGGGGGACCACAAAACAGAATTTATTTATAAAAATTGTGCATTTATTCTTATATGTTTGAATTTCAGTCATCTTCCAAGTACTCTCCATTTGATGCCATACACCTATCAAGATGTTTTTCCCACTTCTCAAAACAGTTTTTGAACCCATTAATTTTTATGCCTTTTAGTGCTTCTGTTGCTTTTTGTTTCACCTCTCCCACATCAGCAAAACATTTCTTTTTGATGACTTTTTTCATCCAAGAAAAAAGTCATTCTGGGTTAGATAAGATGAATAGGGAGGGTGGGGCACCAGGTCATACTGTTTGGGTCAAAAACTGCTGAACACACAGTGTGGTGTGGGTAGGTGTGCTTGTAAATCACCCATCATGAAATGAGTGTTGAACGAGTCCTTAGAAAAATTCACTGAAACTGAATGCAGCCTCACACAACAATACCAGCTGGTACACTGATATAGATGGGTTCCTAGACTACTCACCTAGCTGAGGAAGCCTGTAACATAAGGGGCCCACCCTTCAGAAGACGATTCTGGTTAAATAGTCTCATGACCATAACTGCTTGATTTGTCAACAGAAAGATACATTTACACATTTAGCATATGAGATACATATAAATTTGGGCAAAGGAAAAATCCAAATGGACATAGTTTATTGATGCCTTCCTTTCTGCTAGGTTGGTGGACTAATAATAACCACTAAGGAGTGGAACTACCAGGTCAGAAGAATACTGGGTGTCATAATTCTAGGGCTTATAAACCCTATACAACCAGGAACATCTCTTAAACATCCTAGCCAATGAGCCTATAGTCTAACTGCTCCATCACTTGAACCTTGTCTCCAGATTCCAAAGCTGGAATCTTTAACTATGCCACAAAACCAAGGAAATTTCCACCCTTATGTCTTGTAAACTATGTATCATGTTTCACACAGCATATGGGCTTTCAGCCTAGAGGATTTATTTAATTTGAATTTCCCTGATTAATAGTGATGCTCAGCATCATTCATACTGACTGATTCTTTGTTTTATACTTCTTAAATGTCTTAAAATATAGATTACTTTTATGAATTGTATATTAAACACTTGTACCAGGGTTCCCCTAGGATAAAATGCCACATTGAAATGGAGTGAGGAAAGTCTAATTTACATTGATGTAAGCATTTTTGTAAATAAAAAAATAATCTGGACTTCCAGCTAAGATACAGGCATAGGTAGATATGCTTTGCTTCCTCACACAATCAAAAGAATAACAACAACAAATTTTTTAAAACCAAGCAGAACTGCCAGAAAATTGAACCGTATAGAACTATGACAACCAAGGAGTTAAAGAAGACATTTTCATCCAGACTGGTAAGAGGGGCAGAGACAGGCAGCCAGGGCAGAGAAGAAGTGTGACAAAGCAGCGGGCTGGCAGCTGGCAGACTGGGTGGTCGAGGCAGCAGCTGGCAGACCTGATGGTCCCACATTCATGTGCGGATAAGCTGGGAGGAACAACTGGGGAGTGAAAGAGACTGTGCAACCCAGGGTTCCAGCATAGGAAACTAAAGCCTCAAAACCACTGGCTGTAAAAATCTGCAGAGGCTGTGATGGCAGGAGAAACTCCCAGTTTCACAGGAGAGTCCATTGGACTCTCAGGGTCCACAGAGTCCGAAAATGTACACAAGCCCACCTACCCAGGAATCAGCACCAGACGGGCACAATTTGCTTTTGGGTAGCAGGGAAGTGACTGAAAGCAGGGCAAGAGCTGAGCAAGTGGTATTATTCCTTTTCTGACCCCTTCCCCACATACAGCACCACAACAAAGCAACGTGGGTTGCCCCACCCTGGCAAATACCTAAGACTCCACCCCTAACAACATAGCAGGTGCACTGAGACAAAAAATATGGCCCAAAACAATAGATAAAACTCCAGAAAAGGAACTAAGCAACAATGAGATAGCCAACCTACCAGATGCAGAGTTCAAAATGCTGGTGATCAGGATGCTCACAGAAGTAATTGAGTACAGTCACAAAATAGAAGAAGAAGTGAAGCCTATGCAAAGTGAAATAAAGAAAAATATACAGGGAACCAACAGTGAAGGGAAGGAAACCAGGACTCAAATCAATGATTTGGAGCAGAAAGAAAAAACAGACATTTAACCATTCTGGGTTGAATGAAGAAACAAGAATTCAAAACAATGAGAAGAGGCTGAGGAACCCCTGGGACAACTTTAAACATTTCAACATCTGAATCATAGGGGTGCCAGAAGAAGAGGAAGAGCAAGAAATTGAAAACTTATTTGAAAACATAATGAGAGAGAACTTCCTCAATCTGATAAAGGAAATATACATACAAGTCTAGGAAGCACAGGGAATCCCAAGGAAGTTGGACCCAAGAGGGAACATACCAAGACACATCATGATTAAATTATCCAAGATTAAAGGTAAATAGAAAATCTTAAAAGCAGCAAGAGAAAAAGAGACAGTTACCTACAAAGGGGTTCCCATAGGACTATCAGATGATTTCTCAAAAGAAAGCTTATAAGCAAGAAGAAGCTGGAAAGAAGCATTCAAAGTCATGAAAGGCAAGGATCTCCATCCAAGATTGCTCTATCCAGCAAAGCTATCATTTAGAATGGAAGGGCAGATAAAGTGCTTCCCAGATAAGGTAAAGTTAAAGGAGTTCATCATCACCAAGCCCTTATTATATAAAATGTTAGAGAGACTTATCTAAGAAAAAGAAGATCAAAACTATGAACAGTAAAATGACAACAAACTCACAGCTATCAACAACTGAACCTGAAAATCAAAAACAAAGTAAGCAAACAACTAGAACAGGAACAGAATCACAGAAATGGAGATCACATGGAGGGTTATCAGCAGGGAGAGGGTATAGGGACACTGCAGAGTGGAAAGGCACAGGGAATAAGAAGCATAGTTGGTAGGTACAAAATAGTCAGGGGGAGGATAAGAATGGTATAAGAAATGGAGAAGCCCAAGAATGTATATGTATAACCCATGGACATGAACTAAGGTGGGGGAAATGCTGGTGGGAGGGGCAGTGCTTGGTGAAAGGGGATAAAGGGGAAAAATGGGACAACTGTAATAGCATAATTAATAAAATATTTTTTTAAAAAAGTCTGCACTCTTGTGTGTTTCCAAAAATTTCCTTATATAACTATTACTCTTTAGGAATTTAGGGTCAGGACTATTATAACCTTTGGTTTACAAATACTTTATATGTAACTCTCTCTTTTCAAAAGTGAATGTTCCCCCCTCCTGAGTGGGAAATAAAATGGATTCAATAGCTGTGTGTATAATCAAATTAAAGTAGAACAAACAAGAGCTTCTCTCTGAATCTGACCATCAACTATCAATAAGGGCTCTTCATCATACAGACATAACTTAAGAGATCTTCCTGTAATTCACTAGCTGTCTGCATACTCTCCTCATTGCTACCTTCATTTCTTGATTCCTGAACGTGTAAATGACAGGATTCAGGAAAGGAGTGAGAACTGCATCAAAGAGGGCCAAAAATTTATCCAGATGTGTGGAAGGAGATGGCCACATATAGAAAAATATCAAAGGACCAAAGAAAAGGACTACCACAGTAATGTGAGCTGACAGTGTGGACAGAGCCTTGGATAAACCAGCTGAAGCGTGTTTCTGAACAGTGAGAATGATGACGATATAGGAAATTATCAGTATGAGGAAGGAGCCAACAGAGATGAATCCACTGTTGGCTGTGACCATGAACTCTAATTGGTATGTGTCTGTGCAGGCAAGTTTAATGAACCGAGGAAGGTCACAGTAAAAGCTGTCTAGAAAATTAGGACCACAGAAGGGTAATTTTACCACAAAAGCCAATTGAACCATGGAGTGGATGAGGCCAGTCATCCAGGCAGTCATTAAAAAGTAGATGCACATTCTTGAGCTCATGATGGTCAGGTAGTGAAGAGGCTTACATATGGCAACATATCTGTCAAAGGCCATGGCTATGAGCAGCACCATCTCCACACCACCAATGGTGTGGATGAAGAAGATTTGAGTGATGCAGCCACTAAAGGAGATGACTTTACGCTTTCTGAAAAGGTCATAAATCATCTTGGGAGAAGTGACAGAAGAAACTCCCAGGTCGATGAAGGAGAGATTGGCCAACAGAAAGTACATGGGTGAGTGTAAGTGAGGGTCAGTGGTCACAGTGAGCATAATGAGGGAGTTTCCCATCATGCTTGCCACATAACATGTAGAGGAAAACACAAAAAGGAGAAGTTGGATCTCCCAGGAATCAGTGAGTCCCAGGAACACAAACTCTGACACAGCAGAGTGATTTGCTCCATCCATTGGCTTTGTCAGTCTTGCTACCTGAAAATATAAATTGTGATAGTTATGTAATAAATTAGGAGAGAGATCAGAGTTATGAAAATCTTTCTCTACTTTAGCATTAAAACTGACCTAATATGCCCAGGGCCTTTGAAATGTGATCACAGAGAAATTGGTGATTTTCACACTGAGTTGTTTTCTACTACAAAGCTGTCACTCCACTTAATATCCTCTGCTTCTTCTCAGAGTTAATACTGTAATATTACTCATGATGCAAGATAATCAATGTGAGTAATAGGAATTCAACCTCAAACCTTTTTATTTTTGTTTCAAAACTAATACCTGGCCCCAGTCACATAGAACTAATTACTGTTGTAATCCCTTCCAAGCCTATAAACCTTTATCTAACAGACCCTTGTTCTCTTCCTTCCCAGTCCCCACCTCTGAGAACATATTCACCTTAAATATTACTTAATTGTTTATGGACACCTATGAAGTCTTATTTTATTATTACTAGTATAACCACCAAGCTTTCTCCACATTTGATACCCCTCTGCTTTTTCCTAGGGTAGATACTATGATGTTCTTTATGAGATATAAGATTAATCAATGTGAATAATTGGAATTTGACCTCAAATTCTTTTGATTTTTGGTTCAAGATTAATATATCTTGGCTTCAGTCACACAAAATGCTTCACCACTTCTCAACCATGTCATCCACTCCCAAGACCACCCACCTTATTCTGACAAACAGACCCTTCCTTCTGACGTCCTACCACTGGAACATATTTATCTCCAAGTTTCATTAAACTTTAGTATAAATCTGTGAGGTCTTGCTTTATCTTACCAGCATTTATTTTACTATTGCTCATATGTTAGTAAATTAAGTATAGTTCTAACTGTACTGTAAGCTTTTTGAAGACAGATATTATGACTTATATTTAGATTCCCTAAAGCAATGAAAAAGTAGTCCACACCATGGTACAGGTCCATGAACTGTGTTACCAATTTGCATCATCCTAGGTGCCATTTTACATCAGAGCAAAATCCAGATGTATGATTTTCTATTTACTAAAGTATCATCCCATGAAGGACTGGGGGGGAAAACTTATTTTTCACCAAAAATAATTTGAGAAGGACTGCCCTAGAGTACTTAAAATATGACCTTAGAAGCTTAAAACTATGAAGGGCATCATGGTGAAAAGCATTTTGTTTCTAACCTCTATGGAAGGACTTATCACATTATCTTGTAATTTTAGTTTTATTTAGAAAAGCAACAAAGCATAGAGGAAATAATATGGAGTTTGGATTCAGAAAACCAAGATTTATATTTTGATTCAACCACTGACAATCTGATTTTGGGTAAGTTACTTGAATTCTTGAACCTCAGTTTATCTATGATATTGCAATTAATAACATTAGCTCCTCAGAGCAAGTTGTATTAATAAAGTAATTAAATTTTTATAATTGTGGATTTAATGTGTAGGTATTAATATGTAAATATTCATTTTACTTCCCTTTCTTTCACTTGTCCATTATAGTGCTCAACACATGAGGTAAATAAATAATAAAAAATAAAATGATGTTGGCCAGCAGAATTCTATAATTAAAAATATTTCAATAATATATTATGATTACCTCCTTGTACACAATAATAGATTACAACATTCATACTCTTTTAGTGATCAAAATAAAAGTCATTCTTTGATTACAGAAGGATTTCTCTCATTTCCTTGTAGTATTTATTACAAATGTAATTCATTTTTTTATTCTTTGTTGTCCCTTTCTTCTTTTTATTAAATTTATTAGGATGACATGGTCAATAAAATTATATAGGTTTCAAATGTACAATTTATGATGTATCATCTATATATTGCATTGAGTATTTACCACCTAAAGTCAAATCTTCCATCTCCATAAAATTGACCCCCTTTATTCTTTACTACCACCCCACTTCCCTTCCCTCTGGTAACCACCATACTGTTGTCTGTGTTTATGAGTTTTTGTTTGTCTTGTTTGTTTATTTGTTGCTTTCCATATCATACCTCACTAATGAGTTGTTCTCCCTTCTGATGAGACTGCAACTCCCATAAAGGTAAGGATCACATCCGTCTTATTATCCAATGTATCCCAAAACTTAGAATCACAAGTACATAATAAGGATATGTAAGTATTTCAGGAAATAAATATCTGCTGAAAGATAAAATAGGGTGTATTTGGCTAATTCAAAATATATGGATGTATGACTAATTATATAATTAATGAATATTGGTAACAAAACTTCATAGTTCCTAAGCAATAGAAAATAAGGGTTTATGAAATGAAAAAGAAATGTCAGTCAGAGAAAAACAAATACCATATATGTTTACTTATATGTGGAATCTAAAGAAAAATATAAATTAACAAAAAAATTGAAACAGACTCATAGATACACAGAACAGATTGATGGTTACCACAGGGGAGGAGGGTCAAAGAACTGGGTGAAAAAGGTGAAGGAATTGAGAAGTATAGATTAGTTCTTACAAAATAGTCACAGAGATATAAAGTGCAGCACAGGGAATATATATAATCAATAATATTATAATAACGATGTATGGTGCCAGGTAGGTACTGGGAATATGAGGGAACCACTTTCTAAAATACACAATTGTCTAACCACTATGCTGTACATCTGAAACCAATACAAAATAATATTGAATATAAACTAATTGAAAAGTAAAATTTTTAAAAAGTGAAGAATTAGGGAAAAAGAAAAATGAAATTGACAAGAAAATATAAAAAAGATGAAGAAATTGTAAATGTGTATGATGAAAACGAAAAAAGAATAAAGCTTACTTTAAGAAAAAGGTAACTTATGAGGTATGATTTGCATTATTTTCTAGGCCAACTCTTCAAAAATTCTATAATCATAAGGAAATTACAGTATTATATTTCCACGTGTCTTTTAAGTACCAAGGCTCTTACAAGAGTTTTTCCATAAGCTTTTACCAGGTATGCATAAAGGGCTGTGAATTTATTAGCCTTTTGACTCTCCAATCCCTATGAAATAGGTAAGAACTGGGAATTTTTTAAAAAGTGAACCTAAAGCAGAATGGGATGTAAATATAGAACCTGGTTATACCAAGAGCATGAGAATATATCCATTTAAATATTAGAAAATGTAGAAAATGGAAAAGTTTGGGTCATCACATATGTTAAGTCACTTGAGACAGAGTCAGAATCCAAACGTCAGTCCACAGCAAAAGTTGGAGAGGTTTCCAGATGGAGACACAAGGATATGATGTTTATTCACCTAAAAATTGCCAAATACCCATAAAGAAAAATCCTGTATATTGGTGTTCTGAAATCATTTCCTCTTATAGATTTGCTGTACTTTAAAATGTCTTTTCTTAAACATAATTATAGTCATAATTGTAACTAATTTAATATCCATGATGCAAAAGACAAGGACTAACTCTTTGCCCTCTTTTGTGAATAATCTTTTTTTCTTGATCCATAGAGAATTGATTAATTCTCCAGATTTCTAGATATTTAATCCTTATGGATGAAGTAAATATTGGTAACTGAAGTTTTAAATATTATAAGAGAGTCATCAAGATGAACACAGCCAGTTGTTAGGTTTGAACAAAGTAATGTAAAACATCACTCAATTTTAAAATATTGTGGGTTTAACATCTCCCGCAGCTCAAACTTGCTGCATTTTTATCTTTAAAATTGTCACAAAACCTTCTTTATATCCAACTAAAATCCTGCCTTCTCTAATTTAAGGCCACCTCTACTTTTACTTTTATAACTGGGAGAATTATAAATAATTCTGTGTCTTTTTCAGAAAAACTTTTATGTACGTAAATGCAACAAATTAAATCACCCCTTAGCTTTCCGTTTGCAAGACTCAACAAACACCATACCTTTTATGTACCTATTAAGATCTCTTTCTGTCTTATTCCCTTCCACCCAAAACAGTTTCTCAGTTGTCAACCTCCTCTAAACCTTTCTTACAGCTTAGACATAAAATTGATACCTACAGCTTAGAGATAAAATTGATATAAAACACTCTAATTCTAAAACACATAAGAGACCAGGGAGACTAGTTCAATCTCCTGGTAGTTTATTTTTTGTAATTTGCAACACCATATTTTCAGATGAAATTATATTGGAAACTATTTATTCAGCTTTGTGTTTTTTGGTCTCCATTTCTTTTATTTTCATTATGTGTATAAAATCCTTTTCCATCTTGTAAACTTGACAAGTTCCTAATAAATTTGCTTCCCTTTTCACAGAAGATGTTGAGATTATACCCATCTCTTTTGAAAAGCTAAAGGAGAGAAAAATATAATTAACCTTTTAAAAATATTTTTAGGTGTCCTAAATTTTTCTTGCCTGTTTAAGTGGCAGAGGATGAGAATCATTCATTCAATCAGCATCAAGATCAGAGTGATTAATTGCAACCTATGCTGAATCCATAATATTATAAAACCATTTGACTTTTTCTAATGTCACAGTGTGATTTTAATTAAATGTCAAAGTCAGTTAACCTTTTCTAATATGTCAATAAACTTAGCAAAATGATTCTTGTATGCTGTTCAGTTTCATATCCTGGACACTATCTACTTTGCTTTGGCACTCAAGCACTTGAGTATATGGCTCATATTCATAACAATTCCAAAGACAAAATTATTATGTCTGAACTAAACCACTTTTTGCATTATTAAATTCATTTCCATCCTTCTATTTTACCTGTAGGGATAGAACAGCATCTTCCAGGAGTTTGAGATTTTCCTGTGTTCTCTAATACAAAGTGCTATATAAAATCCTGCCATAAAAAAAAAATCCTGCCATAAGAACAAATGAAGGTTATTATAGCTCAACAGGACAGTGACCAAGTGATTCTGCAAAAGCATGATAGTTTAGAAGGAGCTTATGGATCAAGGGACTTTGCCTCTAGAGAACTATTTGGTTTGACCAGAGCAACCAAAGGATCTAAAACCTAATAATAAGACACCAGAGAAGAAGAGGGAAATAAGAGT